TCCAGCAATTCCACTCCTGGTTGAATATCTGAAGAAAATGAAAACACTAATTTAAAAGATACATGCACCCCAATGTTCATAGAAACATTATTTACAATTGCCAAAGTATGGAAGCAACCTAAGTATCCAACAGATGAATGAAGAAGATGTTGCGTATATACATACACACATACACACACACAATGGAATATTATTCAGCCATAAAAATGAAATAATACCATTTGCAGCAACATAGGTGAACTTAGAGACTATCATATTAAATGAAATAAGACAAAGACAAATATCATATGATACTAGTTATACATGGAATCTAAAAAATGATACAAATTAACTTATTTACAAAACAGAAATAGATTCAGATATAGAAAACAAACTTGTATATAGATATATAAACCACAGTGGCTGCACTGATTTACATGGTAACCAACAATGCATAATGGATCCCTTTTCTCCATATTCTCACCAACTCTTGTTGGTTCCTTCCTTTTTGATAATAGTCATTTGATTATGTGTGAGGTGGTATGTCATTGTGATTTTGGTTTGCATTTCCCCCCAGATTAGTAATGCTAAGCACCTTTTCATGTACCTGTTGGTCATTTTGATGTCATCTTTGGAAAAATATCTATTTAGTTCTTCTGCCTATTTTTAATTGAATTTATTGGGCTTTTTTTGGTAATATAGTTGTATGAGTTCTTTACATATTTTGGATATTAACTCCTTATCTGAAAATAGGATCTGCAAATATTTTGTCCCACTATAGATTGACTATTAATTTTATTGATTGTTTCTTTTGCTGTGCTGAAGATTTTTGGCTTGATGTAGTCCCACTGAATGAATTTTGTTATTGTTTCTTCTTTTACTGGTGTCAGATACATAAACAACTATAAATCAATAAAATGAGCTAAATAGAAGAAATGGACAAATTCTTAGAAATGTACAATCTCCCAAGACTGAAACAGGAAAAAACAGAAAATGTGAACAGACCAATTAACAATATTTAAATTGAATCAGTAATAGTAATTTAAAAAACTCCCCCCAAAATATTCCAGGACCAGATGACTTCACAGATAAATTCTACCAAACATTTAGAGAAGAGTTAACACCTATCCTTCTCAAAATATTCTTTATAAAAACTGCAGAGAAAGAAGAGCTGCCAAACACATTTTATGAGGTTACCACCACCCTGATATCAAAACAGATAAAGACATCACAAAAAAGAAAAATTTCAGTCCAATATCACTGAACATTGATGCAAAAATCCTCAACAAAATATTAGCAAACCAAATCAAACAAACATTAAAAGGATCATATAACATGATCAAGTGAGATTTATCCCAGGGATGCAAAGATGGTTCAATATATGCAAATCATCAATGTGATACACCCTATTAACAAACTGAAAAATAAAAACCACAAGATCATCTCAATAGATGCAGAAAGTTTTTCAAAAAAAATTCAACATCAATTTACAGATTAAAAAAAAAATCCAGAAAGTGGATATAGAGGGAACATACCTCAACGTAATAAAGGCCACATATGATAATCCCACAGCTAACATCATACTCAATGGTGAAAAGCTGAAAATATTTTATCTGAGACCAAGAATAAGACAAGGATGTCTACTCCATCACTTTCATTTAACAAAGTATTGAAAGTCCTAGCCACAGCAGACAAAAATTGCAATAAAAGGAATACAATTTGGAAAGGAAGAAGTAAAACTCTTACTGTTTGCAGATGACATGATACTATACATATAAAATCCTAAGGACACCACCAAAACACTATTAGAGCTCATCAATGAATTCAATAAATTTGCAGGATACAAAATACAGTACATAAATTTGTTACATCTATGCAGTAACAACAAGCTATTAGAGAAATTAAGGAAACAATCCCATTTACAATCACATCAAAAAGAATTAAATACTTAGAAATGAATCTACCTAAGGAGGTGAAAGACTCTAACTCACAAAACTGTAAGACATTGATGAAAAAAATTGGAGATGACACAAACAGATAGGAAAATATAATGTGTTCATGGACTGGAAGAATTAATATTGTTAAAATGACCATACTACCCAAGTCAATCTACAGATTCAATGCAATCTCTATCAAAATATTAATGGCATTTTTCACAGAAGGAGAACAAATAATTTTAAAATTTGTATGGTACCACGAAAGCCCCTAATAGCCAAAACAATCTTGAGAAAGAATAGATCTGGAAGAATAATGTTCCCTGACCTCAGACTATACTGGAAAGCTATAGCAATGAAAACAATACAGTGCTGGCACAAAAACAGACACATTGATCAACAGAACAGAATAGAGAGCCAAAAAATAAACCCACACGTATATGGTCAATTAATCTATGACAAAGGAGCCAAGAATGTACAATGGGGAAAAGACAGTGTCTTCAATAAATGGTGCTGGGAAAACTAGACAGATAGATGTAAAACAATGAGATTACAACATTTCCTCACACCATATACAAAAATAAACCCAAAATGTATTAAAGACCTAAATGTAAGTCTAGAAACCATAGAAATCTTAGAAGAAAACATAGGCAGAACACTCTTTGACATAAATCACAGCAATATGTTTTTGAATCTGTCTCTTAAGGTAAATAAAACAAAAGCAAAAGCAAATGGGATCTAATTAAACTTAAAACATTTTGTACAACAAGGGAAACCATTGACAAAAAGAAAAGACAACCTATTGAATGGGAGAAAATATTTGCAAAGATATGATAAATAAGGGGTTAATATCCATAATATTATAAACATTAAAATATAAACAGTGTATGCAACAACAACAAAACAAGGAACCTATTAAGAAATGAGCAAAGACCTGAATAGACATTTTTTCCAAAGAATATCTACCTACAGATGGGCAAGAGGCACATGAAAAGATGCTCAATGTCACTGATCTTCAGAGAAATGCAAATCAAAACCACAATGAGAATCACCTCACACCTATCAGGATGGCTATTATCAAAACCAGAAGTAACCAATGTTGAGGAGGATATGAGGAAAAAGGAACCCTTGCACACTGCTGGTGGGAATGTAAATTGGTTCAGCCATGGTGTAAAATTGTATGAAGTTTCCTTAAAAAATTAAGAATAGAACTACCTTATGTAATGTCTTCTTAATTTTTCTGTAATTCTATAGCTGTTCTACAAAAAATGACATTAAAAATTAATGTAAAATTAAAACATTTTAGATAATTAAAAATTCAGAGCATGTATCCTCTGAAGATAAGCATAAAGATAATGGCAAATAGTGTTCTTCAGACAGAAGCAAAATGATCTCACATAAGTAAGTAATAAAGCACACAATCAAGTTTTGAAAAAGTGAATGTGGGAATAATTTTAAGTTAACATTAACTGTATAAAACAACAGTAATAGCATTATCTTGTGGGAGTTATCATATCTGTATTTGTATATATGTGCACTCATAGATATAATTAAAATAAATAAAAATATTAAGTAGAGATGAAAATGATAAAAGTATTTAAAATGTTCCAAAGTATTTACATTTTCCAGGAATAATTAATTACCAACATATGTTAAATTTTAATAAGTGAATAATTAATTCTAAATCTCTAGAGCAACTTCTAAAAGAATAGCTAATAGTAACCACTTAAAAGTAAAAATTGTATAAAGAAGAAACTTATGAAGAGAAACATAAAATGAAGTATATTTAATAAATTTTTTTCTATAATAGAAGAAAGTAAAGAAGAGATAAAGGAACACAGAATATATTAAAAAGATCACAAGCCAACTTGAATATGTTACCCTTAAATTTACTTATCTCAAGAATCACACTAAAAGTAATTCAAAGCTTTAAATGAAGGATGAAGTCTATTGCACTGTATGGTAGAGTGCAGTTACATCTTGGTTTTCCCAAGCTCTTTGCTATATAAAATTGCAGTTTCTTCCATTAAAATTTGTCCTATATTTCCCCAGTCTTTGACTTGTTTTTTCCCTTAAATGGGGCAGAATTTACACTTTTCCAATATATATCCCAGGCACTAAGAGGTACTGTGTGTTTCCTCTTACGCGCTCTAGCTTTTGCTATCACCATGAGAAAAATATGCATAGGCTAGAATATTCCTCTCAAAAAACATGTTGACAGACATGGAGTAAAGGCACAACAGCCAGTATAGCCCAGCTTTGCCCAGCCAAGGTCAGTTGATCTCCAGCCAACCCAGAGCTCTGTGACTTAAACAAATGCCTATTGTTTTATGCCACATAGATTTTAGGTTTGTTTTTATACACAGTATTATTGTGGTAGAAGTTAATTAATATTAAAATTGGTCCTTAGAAGTATTATGTCATCATATAAACCTAAAATAAGTGAAACTGTCTTTGGAAGGAGGTGCTAGGGATGAGCAAACTTTTGTAGAAGACTGGTAAAATTAAGATGAAAATTATATAATATGTTGAAAAAAAATGTATATCTATATGTGATTGTGAAATATTCATAAAAATTGTTACCCATATTCTCTCAATATAATTAAGAGTCACCTAGCTGGCTGTGTACCCAGCTGAATTTAAATCACAGCCTACCTAAAAATGTGTAAATTAATGGTTATTGTATGTCACTGACATTTAGTTGTATATTAAAAGAAAGAAACTCTAGCATGCAAACTAATGTTAATGCCAATATCACTAAGTGAGACCCTCTTACCTGGCCAATAAATGATGCCTATTCTGAACCTGACCATAACCTTCTTTTTCATTAGATGTGGAATACTGTGTAGCTCCTAACAGGACCCAAATAATTTATGGAACAAGTTTATGACCTTGGCTTTCCCTAGGTTGGTTAGGAAGACGCATAATTGGTTTTCCTTGAGCTGAAGGTCACCTACAGGTAGCCTTAGAAACAGCCCCTGTCAATCAGTTTTTAATGTGAATACGCTGGTTTCCATCAGTTTTCCAATAGTATGACCATTTGGCCATGATATTTGTTAATTCATGAAACATGAAGAGTCAGATTTCTGCTCTTCCCAGTTTAGGAAAAATGCTAGGAAAACAGTTTGGTTCAGGAAGATTTTAGCTTAAATCTTTGCTAATGACATTGTTGGTACCACTGGCAAATTTAATTACAGTCTGAGAAACTTATAAGATGATAGTTTCTTGCCTTTCGTGCTGTGTATCACCTACTTGTACTAAGTTAACATGTCTAAATGACTTGAAACTCTAGATTTCATTTATAGTTGTTTATAAAATAATGGGCATATGCAATTGTCTTAAGTCTCTTATTGGACAATGTAGAATTGTCAGTCCTTGCTGAGCTTTCTGCTAGTATAATCTCTCCAGAATGAGAAAACCAGCTATTAGGACCAGTTACTAATGGACATGATTGACCCAGAGCAAGCAAGCAACCACTCTGACATCACGGGACCAAATATTTCCTCACCTAATGCTATCATAAGATTAATGGTCAAAAGAGGTAAACTGTGAAATAGAATTCATATTTTATGGTAAGACAAGAAAAATTTAAACATAAAAATTTTTATCTGCTCTTTGGCATCTTCTCTCCCCACTACTGGGCATCATGTGTCTGTATTATGCATTGACCAAACCTTCCCATTGGCAGAAATACCTGCTCAGCCATAAAGAGCAACATTCTCCTAGCACCAACCAAACAACTCCTTACAAAGTAACATTTCTTCTTAACCTTGCAAGGGGCTATGATGGCCCATGGCCCACTACTTGATTGTATGCTTAGATCTGGATTGTGTAAACTGTCAGTAATATGTCGTATAATGTACAGCCCTCTGTCTCAGAAATCTTGTATAACTGTACTTTGACCTTTAATGCTTGGTACAGTTCTCAGAGCTTTCTGAAAAGCTGTTCCCAAGTTATAATCCTTAATATGCCTCAAATAAAGTTTTCCATTTCTTTCTTAGCTCAACTGATTAACTTTTCATTGAAAATAATCAATGAAGTTTAATAATGTTTAAAAATACTCCTCCTTGAGGTCAATAAAAATTTATTTAGAAATATGACATTCTAAGATTTTTATGTAGAAGATAATCTGATTATTCTTAGGTTTGAAGAAGAAAATATTAAATAGTTGATAAGTATTTTAATGAAAACTTTAAAGTATCCTAATTATTTCAGATGATAATGAATTTGATCAAGCAAATCTAACTTAAAACCCAGTTTCTAAAGTGTTTAATTGTAGTTATTTTGTCTAAAAAATATAGCTCTCCCAAAATAAGTCCTCAAATATAACATAGAAAATACTAGAACTAAAAAGTTTAATATGGATAAAATATTTTGGAATTTTCCCCAATGTACACCTTTTCCCATAGAAAAGAGGAAATCTTTGTAAAAATTCAATCAATATTCAAATGTCACATTATATTATTTGCTACTTACCCAGCCTGAAGACTTTTTTTACTGGGCACAAAGAGAATGCGTAAGGTAATTTTAAAACATGAGAAAGACAGTCTTTAAAATAATTACCATAAATACTTTAAAATAAACAAACAATGAGAAGTGTGAAAACTGTTTGTTGTGTACCTTAACATGGTACAACTGGTGGAAGTAGAGATTAATAAAAGAGGACTGACTCTATACATATATATTTTATGTAGGGTTATTAGGATTACTGATGTGATGAATGTGGTATGTGAAAGGAAATAAAGAAGCAAAGATAATTAATAATACATTTTTATAATCTGATAGAATTAGATCTCCCTCATCACTCCTCATTTTAAAAATGTTTAGCTCTTCTCACTTATTTATTTTTTTAAAATAAATTTTAGAATCCTTTTGTTACATTTCCTGCAAATTATTTTGATACTTTTTTTGAGATTCCATAGAGTAGGTGAGTCCAGAATAAAATAAGTATAATCTTTGAAGACAAATGCTCTAAAATATTTGTGTTACTGTTCCAATACTGAGATTCCAGTTCATTTCTAGTCCCTTCTGTATCTGTTTTAGAATTTTATATGTTTACCTAAATTTCCATATCTCATATTAATAATTTCAAAACCAATATATTTATTTAAATTTAAAACAACAATCAATACTGATTGGTGAGGATGCATTACTATATGTACCAATTCAAAATCACAGTGGAGGATTTAAATAAATAAAGTAGAGAATTGGTGGAACTAATATAAACTGAAATTTATTATGTGCCAAGCATGTTGCTACCTCTTTTTGATACGTCATATCATTTAATCGTTACAAGCATTTGGGGATAATATTGTTAACTAGATTCTATTGATAAGGAAACTGAGGCTGAAAAACTTATATTATCCCAAGACCTATGACTAGAGAGGAAAAGAATATAAATACACTGATAGAATATTACATTTAGGATAGCATCTCCCAATTGATGTGTTACCTGGAATAAATTGTGTACTTTCCCCAAATCTAGGTAAAAACACTAGACTTGTATTAGCCAATCAAAACCAATTTTCATGACAGCTAGTATCTCACTAAAGTCTGGTAATGTGCTTTAAATGTTATATTGAATGAGTAAACACATCCATAGGTCATGTGTCCCAATTGGTAAAATGGGAAAAAATACCACATTTCTCAGAAAAGAAATATTGTGAGGATGAAACACAATATTTTAGAGAGGCAGTGTATCAAAATGCTTAAAAAAGGTGGATTCTGGATACAGAAAAATCAAATCTAGCTCTGACACTTATAACTGAGTATCATTTTTACTTTAACTCTCAATTCCTTATTTCTGAAAGAATGGAATGAGAGTATTTACATTAATGGATTGTTAAGGCAATTAAATGAAATAACACTTATAAGCCACTTAGACTAATGTCTGGTGTAAAATAAGAGTAAAACAAATATGTCACCAGTATTAATAGTACTAATGCAATAGTAGTAGTACTAGCAACAGTAGCAGTGGGGATGTAAAAATTTTGTGGACAGTCTGATACATTGTTACGTATAAATTGTGAGGAACAAGACTGCTTATGAATAAAATTAAAACACTCCACAGTTATAATTCAAAGTATATTACACAAAGATGGATTTGAAATTAGTACTCAAATCTTGTGATTATCTGCAAAATTAAAGCTTACATTGACTCTAAATGGATATTTCTGAAGGTTTTACAAGTCATAAAAACTATACAATTTAATTAACAGATCATCTACTAGAATTGTGGGTAACTAAGCAACTGTGCTTGGATAATTGATTTCCAATGAGAACATAATTTTTAAACATAACCTTCTGGCACCTTTAATATCATATTTTTGGAGAATAATTTTATATTATTTCCAATAATGTTTGAAAAATAATTATGTCCAAGTAGTGTTTTTATTAGATTTTGAATATGGAAACCTACCTTTCATATATAAATGAGCAGAGCTGTCTATTATTTAAAAAGTTGTATGCTCATTTCAAATTCAGAATTACATCCAGTATTAGTGCTTTTGTAGGTATAGGTGCTAATCATTTTAAATAGCAACATAATTATCAAGTTACATATGCAACTTGGGTGAATTGTCCATTAAAAATAATTAAATATTTGGTAATACAATGAATTGCATGTAGCCTGTGTCCTAGACATTGATCTTGCCAATTAGATGAAGGTGGATTGGGAGACCATTTAAAAACTGTCCTCTTAATTTCCAGTGATGTTCTTTGATTACTTCACGTAGAGATTTTATGAGCTATGTCTTAAAGCACAATTTTTATTTCTCCCAATTGTGTTTTGTATGCAGTGTTTCTATAACAACGACATAATGAAAATATACATTTAGAAATGCTAATCACAAAATACATTTTCCTTCAGTAAAAGTGCAGCTAAAATTCAATTCCTGAAAACAACTTTCCTCCTGGTTTGTACTGATTAATTGGGATATTTGAAATTACACTGCATTCTTTATTTAAACTATGGTCAGAGAATATTAAGGACTAGGATGCTGAAAACAATAATAAAACAGAAAAAGTAAAAATATTAAGCTGAATTAGAGGTAATATTTGACTTTTTCCCTTGCTTTGCAACTGCTTTTTGTCTATGATAAATTATTTGCTGAATAGCCAAAGGCATATCTGAAGCTGTTATACATTGCAAATCCAAAGGCAAACTGTGTAATTGCAGACTACATAATGGCCACAAGGCAGTATGGCACAGTGTTGTGGACAAGAGTTGCAGAAGTTCCCAGGAAGAAGATGACTGGAGTTCAAGAATTAGGTTCTCATATGAACTAGGAGGAGGGTAAAGATATAAATTAGTTTTTTATGCTCCTACATTAAGTATGATTTTTCAGTCACTTAAAAATTGTACAACAGTAAAATATGGAACAAAGACAAGCTCAGTAAAATCAGGAGAATTTAAGGAAGGGGGATAAATTAGATGAATAGAAACTACAAAGTAAAATGACAGAAATAAATCTCAATATAGCAGTTATAATAATAAATATAAATGAGCTAATGCTCTAGTTACCAAAAATATTGCTAGAGAGTCTATCAAAAAATTCAGTTAAAGCTTGTTTACAAAAAATACCAGTGTGGGAGTTCCTGTATGAACGTTTTGGAATTTATTCTTGGGTGTGTCTCCTAACTTTAGCCGTGAATTGATTATGTCATTTCCTCAGCTCTAAAAGGCATTCAATTAGCGTCATTTCACTGGCCAAAATTGTTACAGATAATATAATTTGCCATAGACTTCTGCCTTGAAGGTGAATGTGACATTTGACATTTCGTCAAATTACTAGTGTATTCTTCTATACCTATATTAATGCTTCAGGACAGGTGAAAAAGATTAATATAGAAACATAAAGGGAAGCCACCAGATTTCTAAGAAACATCAGTATGGTTAATGGGATTTGTTTTAACCAGCTAAGTTCAGGACACTTAGAGAGCATGGCTTAGAGAACATACTGAAGTTTTGCCTCATTCTGCCACCTAAAATTTTGCTGATAAGAGTTTTAAAATAAAAATATTTTAGCCAAAGCCAAGGGGGTTGGACTATGCAAGTAGGAATTAACATAGCAGGCTTGATCTTTTAAAGAACCTACTTAGCCTACTTAAACTGCTGTTCTTTGGCTGTCATTTGGGAAATTGGTTATTTGAAGTTTTCCCATACCAATAAGGTTGTTTTGGCTGCCTATAGCACTAAACAACTGCTTTAATTTGGGGAATTGGAATTTTGGTGGTTGTATCTGATAGAATGCCTAAATGACCAGCCCCTATCAAAATCCTTAGGCATTGAATTTCTAATGGGTTTCCCTGGCCAGAAACATTGCACATAGATTACTGCATTTTTTGTTGTTGTTGTTGAAGAAAAGATTACGCTCAAGCATGTTCCTTCAGAGGAGAAAGAAAACGTAAGAATTCTGAATATCTCCAGAATCTGAATGATGTGTCCTTATGCCTTGATGACCAATATAATATGCCACAAACAATTCCTGATTTACAATTTTGACTTAACAATTTGATTTACAATTTTTTAACTTTATGATGGTGTATAGGTGCTACACATTTAGTAGAAACTGTACTTTGAACTTTGAATTTTTTTCTGGGTTAAAGATATGTGGTATGATTCTCTTTCACGATGCTAGGCAGTGGCAGTAAGCTGCAGCTCCCAGTCAGCCATGTAATCACAAAGGTAAGCTATTGATACAATTATAACCGTTCTGTTTTTCACTTTTACTATGAAATTCAATAAATTACACTAGATATTCAACTCTTTATTAGAAAATAAGTTTTGTGTTAGATGATTTTGGCTAACTGTAAGCTAATGTGAGTGTTCCGAGTGTGTTTAAGGTAGGCTATGCTATGATGCTGGGTAGGTTTTTTTATCAAATACTTTTTTGACTTACAATATTTTAAAATTATGATGGTTTATGGGAATATAACCCCATCATAAGTTGAAGAAAATCTATATGAATACAATTACATCTGGTTCCTTTGAGCTCTAGTGAATCACTGAATGTGGGGGTGGCCATGGGATCCGTGACACATGAACGAATGTGAAAATGATGTAGACTTCCTATTGGAAAATATATAAGCAAAACCAAAATGAATCCATCTTTAAAACACTAAAAACAATTTATATTTAGTCTTATATACATCAAAAATCTTTTCAAAATGAGCAAAATGGTGAATAGGAAAATCCAAGTTCTTGTTCTCCTGTAGAAACATCAGAAAAACAACTAGAAACTGGCCCAGTTAACATTATAGAAAATCTGGGGGTAAGAGTCAAAGTGTACAGCAATCATGCAATTATGAAAAAGCCACTTTCAAAACATCATGAAATTATATGTAGTTTTTATTTTTTTCTTGCCCCACCCTTCCATGTCATTGTGTGATCTGATCTGAAGCAGGCAGCAACTCAGATCCCAATTCCTTTTCTTGAACAGGAGGGAGGAGAGCAGGCATTATTTATCATGTTCTAACCTGTCTAGGCTCTGTGTGAAGGACTGGTCTCTTTCTTAACTAACTCAGATTCCAGGTAGGAAAGAGTAACTGTGACAGCTTCTGGTTGTGAAAAATAAAGGGATATAAAAGGGCTGAAGATGCCTGGGGCAAGAGATTACAGGTGGGGCCATATAGTAGAGGGATAGACATACAACTGAGGAAAAGCTGGAGTAAGACTCATTGAGACATTTGGACATTAAAAAGCAGCTATATACAGAATGGTATGAAAAATGCCAAAAACAAGCAGGCAGGAGGTATGCTCAGAAAAGAGCTGAGAAAACATTAATCTTTCATATTGGGGTATTTCTAGGCTCAGAGCAAGTCCACCTAATTGGAGACTATGCCAGCACATAGATAATCTGCAAAGATTTGATGAGATGGATGTTTTTTCAAATGCCCATTTTTGAACAAAAAATAATAGGCATACAAGGAAAAAGTAGTGCAGGTCTCATTCAAAGAAAATTAATTTTCAGAAACTATTCCTGAGAAGGCAGATTTACTAGATAAAAACTTTAAAACAACTAGCTAAATTATGCTCAATAAGCTATAAAGAAAAACATAGACAAAGAACTAAAAAGAAATTAAGAAAATGACATATGAACAGAATGAGATTATTAGCAAAAAATTACAAAAAGGACCCAAACAGAAGTTTAGAAGTTGAAAAATATAATAATTTAATTGAACAGTTAGTTCTAACAGTTTTTTTGGTGGAATATTTAGGGATCCTGTCATCATCAAAGAGACAATTTTGCTTCTAGCTTCCCATTTAGATGTCTGTCATTCCTTTTGCTTGCATTATTGCCCTGGCTAGGACTTCCAGTAATTTACTGAATAGAAGTGACAACAGTGGGTATCCTTCTAATGTTTCTGGTATTAGAAAAAAAGCTTTCAGGTTTTCACTATCTACTATGCTGTTAGCTGTAGGCTTATTGTATATGGTCTTTATTTTACTGAGGCATATTCCTTCTATATCTAATTTCTGTAGACTTTTTATTATGGCAATATGTTGTATTTTGTCAAATGCTTTTTCTGCATCTGTTGAGGTAATTATATAATTTTTATCCTCTGTTAATGTGGTATATCACATTTCCTGATTTGCATAGGTTGAACCATCCTTGCATCCAAGACATAAATCCAACTTGATTGTGATTTATGATAAACATGGTTTAATGTTTTATTGAATATGAATTGCTTGTATTTCACTGAGGATTATGCATCCATATTTATCAGGGATATTGGCCTGTATTTTCTTTTCTTGCAGTGTCCCTGTTTGGCTTTGTTATCGAGGTAATACTGGCCTCATAAGATGAGTTTGGAAATTTTCCTTCCTCTCTCAATTTATGGAAGATTTTCAGAAAGACTGATACTATCTTGAAATATTTAATGGAATTCACCTGTAAGGTCATCTTACCCTGTACTTTTCTTTGCTGGGAGGTTTTTCATTAAGGATTCATCTACTTACTATTGATCTTTCATATTTTCCATTTCTTCATGATTCAGTTATGGTAGGTTGTATGTTTCTAGAATTTTATCCATTATTTCTGACTTATCAATTAATATGTCTCCTCTTTCATTTCTAATTTTGTTTGAATCTTTTTCCCTTGATTAGTCTGCTGAAAATTTATCAATCTTTTTATCTTTTCAGAAAACAAACTCAGATTCGTTGATCTTTTCTATTTTCTTCATAGTCTCTATTTTATTTATTTCTGCCCTCATCTTTATTATTTTCTTTCTTCTGCTCACCTTGGGTTTATTTGGTTTTCTTGTTATTTGAGGTGTAAAGTTAAATTGTTTGAGTTTTTTTTTCTTTAATTGTTTGAGTTTTTTTTTTCTTTATGTATGTGTTTAAAATTGCAAAGTTTCTCAGAACTGATTTTCCTGCATCCCCTAAGTTTGGTATTTTGGACTTCCATTTTCCTTATCTCAAGACACTTTTAAATTTCCCTTTAGATTTCTTCTTTGACCCATTGGTTTTCAGGGGTGTATTATTTAATTTCCATGTCTTTGTGAATTTTTCAATTTTCTTTATGTTATTTATTTTTAGTTTCATACTACTTTGGTAAGAAAAGATACTTTGTATGATTGCAATCTTCTTAAATTTGCCAAGACCTGTTTTGTGGCCCAATATATGATCTATTATGGAGAATGTTCCATGAGTGCCTGAGAAAAATGTGTATTTTGGTAGATGGAATGATATGTGTATATTAGGTCCATTGGGTTTACAGTATTATCAAGTCCACTGTTTTCTTATTCATTTTCTGTCTGAATAATCTATCCAGTGTGGACACTGGGTCATTGAAGTCCCCTGCAATTATTATATTGCTGTCTATTTCTTCCTTCAATTTTGTTAATATATGCTTTAAATATATAGGTGTTCCAATGTTGAGTGTATACATATTTACAATTTTTATATCCTCTTGATGAATTGACCCTTTTATCAGTATATAATGATCTTCTTTGTCTCTCGTTACAGTTTAGACTTTTGTCTGATATAGTTTAGGACTTCTGATCTCTTTTGATTTCATTTTGCAAAGAATATCTTTTTCCATCGCTTCACTTTGAGTCTGTCTGTGTCATTGAAGATGATATGAGACTTTTGTAGATAGCAAGTGATTGTGTCTTATTTTGTATCCATTCAGCCACTTATTGTTTTTTATTGGAGAGTTTAATCCATTTACATTTAAAATTGTTTGATAGGTAAAGGCCCATAATGGCATCTTACTGTTTCCTGATTGTTTTGTAGTTCTCTTTTGTTTCTTTATTCTTCTCTTCCTGTCTTCTTTTGTGAATTGATGATTTTCTGTAGTGATATTATTTGATTTCCTTCTCTTTATCTTTTATGTATCTACTGTACATTTTTTCTTTGTGGTTATCATATGACATACATAAGACCTATAGTTATAGCAATCTGCTTTAAACTGACAACAATTTAGCTTCAATCACATACAAAATTTCTACCCTTTTACTCTCTCCCACATATGTTTTTCATGTCACAATTTACATATTTTATATTGTACATAAATTATTATATTTTATATTGTTTATGCATTATTGTAGCTATAATTATTTTAATATCTTTTTCCTTTAACCTTTATAACTATAGATAAAAGTCATTAAAACACCACTATATTACAGTAGTAGAATATTTTAAATTTGTGTACTTACCTTTACTGGTGTGTTTTATATTTTCATATATTTACATGTTACTAATTAGACACATTTTCTTCAGCTTGCATAGCTTCTTTTAGCATTTCTTATAAGGCATGTCTAGTGATGATGAAATTTTTTAGTTTTCTTTTTCTAGGAAATTTTTTTCTCTCTCATTCATTTTTGAAGGATGGCTTTATTGGATAAAGTATTCTTGTTTGGCAGTTATTCTTTTTTTTTCTTTCAGCACTTTAAGCATTTCATCCCATTCTATACTGACCTATAAGGTTACTGCTGAGAAATTGACTGATATCCTAATGGAGGTTCCCTTATATGTGAGGAATTTTCTCTTGCTGATTTTAAAATTCTCTCCTTGTCTTTAATTTTACACAATTTTATTATAGTGTATCTTAGAGAAATTCTCTTTGGGTTGAAACAGTTTGGGTACCTATGAACTTCATGAATTGAATATCTTTATATCTTCCAAGGTTTTGGGAATTTTATAGCCAATATTTCTTTAAATGGTTTTTTTGTTCCTTTCTTCCTCTCATCTCTTTCTGGGACTTTCATAATATATAAGTTGCTTCTCTTGATGGTATCTTATCATTCACATAGGCTTTCTTCACTCTTCTTTCCTTTTTTTTTCTTTGATTGCCTCTTACTAGATAATTTCAAATGACCTATGTTTGACAGATTATTCTAATAATCGAGTCTACTGTTGATGCTTTTTGTTGCATTTTTTCATTTCATTCATTGTATTCTTCATATTCAGAATTTCTGCTTGGTTTTTTTTTATGATTTATATCTCTGTTCAACTTCTCATTTTGTTCATGTGTAGTCTTCTTGATTTCAACAAATATCCTTTTTGTGTTTTTCTTGAAGCTCACTGGGCTTTGTTAAAAACAACTATCTTGAATTCTTCATTGGAAAAATTGCAGACCTTTATTTCCTTGGAGTTGGTTTCTAGCAAAGAATTGTATTTATTTGGTAGTATAATGTTTCCTTGATTTTTTATGTCCCGTGAAGCCTTAAACTACTGCCTTTGCATTTGAGGAATGAGCCACCTCCTCCAGTCGTTACTGACTGGTTTGGGGAAAATAAAAGCCTCATGTCAGCCCTGCTAGGTATTCCGAGGCTTTGTCAAAACTTTCTTATGGGCTCTCCTACTCCACATTACTTGCTCCCTCTTGGGGCAAAATTCTTAAGCTTGCATGCCTTCTATTGATCCAGCCAAGACAGACCAAGTCTGGCAGCTTACATTTTACTTTCTCTAGGGCACTGCCAAATGCTCAAATTTGTAGTTTCTCCCAGGTTTGTAGACTCAGGCTGGCTTTCTTCACATACTCACTAACTATCTGGAAAATCTCACAATTACCACCTTTGTGGACATGCATAGGGAGCTGGCCATGACATGGAGAGTGTGTGAGTGAGTTGAGCTGAGGTTTGAGTATGCCTGTGGGCTATTTGAAAGGAGCTGCAGGCAAGGGACCTCCAGCAGCTCATGTGTAGGCCTCCCGATGGAGTCCATGAGGCAGCTAGTAAGATCTATGTCCCTTTGGTATCTTCTATTCTGAGCCCTGACTGCTTTTTTCCGCACTGTTCACCACCCACCAGCCATGCAGCTCATAACTCAGTATTCTAGATGGGTCAAGAGAAAAATGAACCACTTTCGCTGTGTCCTGCACAGTTAGGGATGCCGGCAATTACGCACTTTTCCTCACAGAGGAAATTACCAGCTGAGAAGCTCTCTTGACACTGAGCTGTGCTATGTTAGGGAGGTGTGACAAAGGCAAAGTAAAACTGTTTTTTTTGTACCATCTTCAATGTATCTAATGATGATCTTTTTGGTCCAGTGGGGTCCTGGAACATTTATGCTGAACTCCTGCACTTCCATAAAGGTACTGTCATTCATGGCTGTTTGTCAAAATTAGTGCTCTTTAAAGGGAAGATAAAAGAAAACTCCTATTCCACAATCTTGCTGATTTCACTCCTCTAAATTAATTTTTGCTAACTAAAATATATCTGGGAAATCCTCAGATATTTGAAAATTAATTTATAAAAAATTATAGGTCAGATAAAAGTCCAGGGAGAAGAAAATGATATATTTTAAAAAACAGTTAATACTGACCACACAATATCTTTGAGGTGGCTGAGACACCTCTACAAGAAAAAGTATAGCTTTAGATAACCACATTAGATAATAAATATGTGTAAATCAATTGTCAAAACTTTCACAGTGGTTGTCTCCATAGAAAATGCTAAGAAATAGATTTTTAAAATTAAAAACTTTTAAAATTCATGGAAATAGTAAGTGAGTTTAGCAAAGTTCCAGAATAGATTGTCAGTATATAATATCAATAAACTTCTATACAATAACATTGAAAAACTACAATTTAAATTTTAAAAATTATAATAGTACCAAAATCTAATAAAGTACTTGTAGGGTCTATATGCTGGAAATTGTAAAGCACTCATGAAAGGAAATAAAGGACTTATATAAATGGAGAAGTATGCTCTGCTATGGATTTAAAAAAAAAACAAAGCAAAAATGTAAATTTTCTTTAAATTTATCTTTAGATATTTAAGGTAGAATAGTTGCCCCCCCACCAAAAAAAGATGGACACATCCTAGTCCCCAGAACTTGTGAATATATTTTCTCCCATAGTGAAAGAAAGTTTGCAAATGGATTAAGAATCTTGAGATGGGGAGCTTATCTCAGATTATCCATGTAGGTCCAGTGTAATTACAAGATTCCTTATAAATGAAAGAGAGAGGAAGGAGCATTAGAGTTATTTTATCTGCCATTGCTGCCTCTGAAGTTGGAAGGAGACAATGAGTCAAGGAATAAATGCAGACTCTAGGAACTAGGAAAGCTAAGAAAACAAAATGGTCCATAGGGCTTCCAGAAGTGATGCAATCTTGATGACTTCTTGGTTTTAGCCCAGGGAGACCTATTGTGGACTTCTGTCTTCCAGGATTTTAAGATAATAGATTCATGTTGTTTTATGTCATTAGGTTTGTAGTAATTTGTTACAGAAGCAATAGAAAACTAATACAAGATTAATAGAATATTTATCAAATCCCAGTGCTATATTTTATAGATAAATATAAGTTGATTTTAAAATTTATATGTAAATGCAAAAGAACTGGGATATTCATAAACATTTTGAACAAGAAGAATAAAGTTAGAAGAATCACAATAATCAATTTTAAGGCTTAGTATAAACCTACAATAAACAATACAATGTGTTGTATTGGTAAAGGTATAGACACATAGATAAATAGACAGAATAGGGCCCATACAAATATGGTCAACTGAGTTTGACAAAAGTGCAAAGGTAATTAAATGAAAAAGGGATAGCCTTTTCAACAAATGATTTTGGATCAATTGGACATCCATTTGTAAAACAAATTTAAAAACCGTTTAATTTATAAAGCACATCTTACACAAACAAACTCATAATGTATCACAGATCTAAACATAAAATGTAAAACTATGAAACACTTAGAAAACATAGGAGAAATTTTTCATGGCATGCAGTATAGAATTGACACTAAAAACACAATAAAGTTGATTTATTTAAAATTGAAAAAAGTGCTTGCTCTGAGATATACAGTTATGAGAATGAGAAGATAAGCTACAAACTTGAGAGAGAAATCTTTGCAAATTACATATTGATAAAAAATATATTCAGAATACATAAAGAATTCTCAACTGTTCAAAAAGTAACAACCTAATTAAAAAAATGAGCAACCCACAAAAAAAATGCCAATTTATTTTATAAATTTGGGAAAACACTTGAATAGAGAAGATATAGCCTTTTTTTAACAAATGAGAGTAACTGGACATCTGTAGGTGAAATAAACAAGCAAACAAAATCTCACTTCTTTTATACATGTTAATTAAAAGTGGATCAAAGATTTAAATGTACTATGTAAGCTATACATTTTTTGAAAAAATACATGAGACAATATTAAAAATCTAGAGCTAGACATAGAATTCTTATACTTGACACCAAAGACATGTTGCATAAAAGGAAACCTATAAATTAGATTTCATCCTAAAGAAAAAATGCTCTGCAAAAATTTCTGTTAAGTGGATGAAAATAAAAATTACAGACTGGTGGAAAACATTTGCAAACTGCATCCAACAAAGGATTTTTACCTAGAATTTGTAAAGAACTTTCAAAAATCACAAAGAAAACAAAATTCAATTAGAAAACAGGCAAAACACACATGAACAGGCTTTTCACTAAAGAGGATATAAGATGGTAAATGAGCCCATGAAAGATGCTCAGCATCATTAGCCATAAGGAAATTAAAATTAAAATCTCAATGAGACATCCCTACCCTTTTATCAGTATGGCTTAAAAACAGCATAGTGACAGCACCAAATCTTGGCAAAGATAGAGAAAAACTGAATCATTCAGACATAACTGATGAGGATATAAGTTAATGCAGCCACATTGGAAAATTGTATAACAGTTCCCTACAAATTAAACATGTGTTTACCATATGCAAAACAATTGTACTCTACAGTATTACACAAGTAATGAAAACTTATGTTTGTGCATGAACCTTTCTGTGAATGTTTATAGCAGACATATTTATAATAGCCCCAAACTGAAAGCAACCCATATGCACTTTGATGGAAGGTAAATGGTTAAACAGACTGTGGCACATCCATACTACGGAACACTATTCAACCATAAAAAGATCAAATTCGATTCAAGCAACCACTCAGATGAATCTTCGTGAAACATTTTGAATGAAAAAAGTCCATCTCAAAAGTTTTCATGTAGTATGATTTTACTTATATAATATTCTCAAAATAATAAAATTATAGAGATACAGAAGAGATGAGTGGTGGCTGGGAGGCTTTGAAAGGGCAGGGAAGTGTCTGTGTCTATAATAGGGCATCATGAGGAATCCTTGTGATGGAACTGTTCTTTGATAAAATTGCACAGAACTAAATATACTCACACACATACACAAACACACAGGAGTACATGAAAAAGAGGAAATATGAATAAGATAGAACTTTAAGTAAAATTTCAGGAAATAATACTAGATATTAAATATACAATTTTGAGTGCATGTATAGTTAGTTAATCTCTCATGTGCCAGCTCTGCCACCTATCTTTCAGTCACAAGAAGAACAATGTTCTTAATGTTATTAATATTTTAACACTCAAATTGAAGCTTTGAAAAGAATACTTAATAAGCCCATGGTTCAAAAAGAAGATCCAGAGTGATGTCAGCAATATGGTAGAGTGAAAAGATACCTTTGTCTCTTGCTTTCAATCTGCAACCAGTAAAACATCTACAACATAGCAAAGGTGCCTCTTTTCAACACACCAGGAAGACAGAGAATTCCACAGATCTGTACATCTAAAGATGGGTTGTCCAGAACACATACTGGGGGCAGAATTGAGGGAGACCATGGTAGCTGAGCCCACAGCTCCAGAGGACCTTGTAGTAGAAAGGAATTAGATACACTTAATTCCAGCCTCTTGGGCACAGTGCGACCCACAGCCATAGGTAAATGGGTAGAAGCAGTGAGGACTGGGACCCCATCCCTCCAGCCACTGAGGTGCCCAATTCTCTAGCCTCCACTCCCCCAACCCACAGAGGTAGAGCCTGAGAACCTTACATGACAGAGGGGGCCCTCAAGACCACAACTCTCCCCACTATTCCCTTTCCCCCATGGCAATGCACCTGCAATGCAGAGGATTCTGAATGTGACAAAAGTGCTCCCCATCCTGGGGCCCCAGGCAGCAACTCCAACACTGGCAGCAGCAAGGGTCCAACAATACCAGAGGCATAAGAAGTGATAACAAGGGCATGGTTCCACACCTCTGAAAGAGACAGTGGAATGTGGAAAGTGTCAGCTCTCAATTATAACCAGAGGCAGTTCAGGTAAGAGAAACCCAAAACTTGCATCAACTCCTGGAAAACAAAATAAAGGCCACTGATTCCTAGATTGTTGAATCATTGGAATCAAAGAGAAAGATGTTCACTACTTCAAATGCATTGGCAAAGGATCAATGCATCAAACATCATGAAAAACCACAGTAACACTGTACCACAAGAAATGACAATTCTCCAAAAACCAAAGTCACAAAGTATTGCGATCTAACTCATAGAAAATTAAAAATAGCTATCATGAAGACATTCAATAACCTACAAGAAAATTTAGAAAAGTAGTTCAGTGAGCTCAGGAATAAAATAAATGAACACAAGGAATATTTTACCAAAGAGATTAAAACTCTTAAAAAAAGTCAAACAGAAGTTCTGGAGTTGAAGAATTCAATAAATGAGATCAAGAATGCATTAGAAAGCTTTAGAAACAGAGAAGAACATATGAAAGAGAGAATTAGTGAGCTCAACAATAGAAATGTAGAAATAATACAAGTAGAAGAGGAAAGAGAAATATGATAAATTAAAAATAAGGTAATTTTATGAGAGTGATCTGACTCTTTTAGGAAGAGCAACATTAGGGTAATGGGTATTCTAGAAGGAGAAGAGAGAGTGAAGGGAGAAGAGTTTATTTAAAGAAATAATAACTGAGAACTTCCCAAACTTGG